TCTAAACGAATTTTCTAACAAACATATAAAATAGTCAAAAATTTCAAGCTTTTGCTGATAGATTTTGAGATAATATCCATGAGAAAAAACGAACAGTTCTCTGTACATCAATCAGGTTATAAATTTCTTTTTCAATTTTAGTTGCATAAATGAAGAGATTATTCTTTTTTATCAATAAATCCGAATTTTGTTCGATTTAAAATTTTCGTGAGAAAAATTTTGGCTCGTAATGACTGTTCACTCCAAATGTGACTGTAATTCATGAATTGACATTTTCTTTAAAATGGCTTATATAATCGAATCTGTTCAAGTTTCGTTTGATAGTTCCTGAAATAGTGTACAAAAAAAACAATGACTTATGAAATATATTTGTTGTTGAATTTTGGTTCTATATGGTCTTGAAGTTCAAAATTCATGACAAATTTCAGTATAAAAAGATCGTAGTTTTTCTATTTTTGACCTTTTTATAATTTTAATTGTCAATGTACTAAAAAAACGTTCTTTGTCTTCTTGTAAAATTTCTTAAGTTGCATATAACTTTGCAAAACTCAAGATCTAAAAAATGATTAATGGAATGTTGATGTGAAAGTCATTGTATGGGGAACATAACTATGAACCGAAAGCTCATATTGATGACATAAGAATTGTCAAACGAAATATTACTGTATTTCATCTCTTATCAATGATTCAACAAACAGATCAGTGATGAAGTTTGCCATAGCAGAAATAACATCAAAAATTCTCCAATGGTATACATCAAGGAAAAAGAGAAGTTTTTGGTATAGACATGTGATTTAGTAGTCTAACGAAAGAGTGAATATTTTATTTAAAAATCATGTTGGACTAATTACGTTATTCATGTCAGACACTTTCCATTTTAAAGTTCTTTGCATATAGATGATCATAAATGAATGAATAAATGGAAGATATCTAATTCTAATTTTAATAAGTAGTCTAAAACCATTAAATAGTATGTGACACAAAGTTTCAATGGATTATCAGTTTATTCTCTTAAGATTAATGTAGTTGTTTAGTTGATATTCTTGAAAAAACTTTAATCTCTTGTATCCTTGATTGATATATTTTTTTTTCTTCAATAAAATTAGAAACCAATCAATCATTAAATTGATTGATTATTCATGAAGAACACATCAATATTCGCCATTATGAAAGAACATAAGCAAAGCGATATAAAGGAAGAATAACAACGAATAAAATAGTTTCAACTGGTTTTGTTCTATAACCAATAGTGAAAAAGCAAAGAGGAATAATAATAGATAGTTTCAATCCTTAATAATAAAGTTAATAAAAACTTGTCCTATGTTCTTTTTAATTAAAATTGGTATTTAATTTTTACCAATTGCTTCTTATTTACTCTTCAATCAATGCATTTGATTACTAGTTAATACTCAGCATTCAACTTCAGAAGATTCAATTAATCAACGTTCTTATGTTCCATGACAAAAAAAAAAAACTGAAACATCAACTTATTCAAGTGAATATCCTAATTGATGATAACACAATAATAGTGATATTTATCCATTAAATATGATATTACTAGCAAATCCAGTAGACAAGAAAAATTATTGAATATTGATGGAAATTGAGTATGAATTTATTATTTGTAAAATAATTTTCAAAACGATAATTTTCTCTAGGTTTATTTATTAATGCAAATTTTTTTTGGAATTTAATCTGACATAAAGATTAACATTGATAAGATTATGCATGCAAACCATCTGATATAAAATCTATTGTATGAACGCGTATCATATTTGCATCGAACTTGCTTGATTAGAAATATTCAACTGACAAAAATGACATGCTAATCAATATATAAATTCCTATTTTAAATCATCCGATGAAAAACTGAAGAATGATGTGCACTATCTACACGAATTCGTCATTGATTTGATTATAAAATTGCATTTGACCAACATGACTGGATTTTATTATCGATTTAGAAAGCATTTTACATGTAAAGAAAACAAAAGTTGTCGTTTTTGATTTCTTATTAACAACGTATTTTTTAATGAAAGATATTATTAATTATTATGATTGAGAAAAACTTGATCATAACATATTCAAATTAACTCTATTCGATATTTGATTCATATATAGTTCATTTGGTACTGCATGAAATCATATCCATACTGCATAATAGTATTGAAAAAAATCGTAAAACTTATGATATAAATGATGATGTAATCAAAACAACATAACAGAAACCTAACACTAAAACAAAGCCATCACAATCTACATAATAATAATAATAATTGACTGTTGAGTAAATTTTATTGTTTGCCACTTACTTGTATTTTTAATCATGAGTTTCGATTATTTTGATAATCAACAATCTGATTTAGAAAAAGAAAAACTTGTCTTTCTTTTTGTTTCAGGTCAATTAGATACAAATAAAAATCTTAATAAAACAATCTAAAATCGAAGATGATGCAATGTGATCATCTTCTCTTTTATTTGTCTTGATATTATTGCAACACTAAAATAGTATTTATTTTTTCAGTTTTTTTTTTAAATTGATTATCTCTAATCATCGGGATTTCACCGTTAATCGCTTTTCGTGCCACTCGGTCACGAATCAATATGTCAATAGCAGATCAACAACAACATCATCCAGGTCATCGATGGATGCTTGAAGCACTTAAATTAGCACAAGGTGCATTAGATAAGCAAGAAGTTCCTAGTAAATGAAGTTATTTTATTGATATGATTTTCTTTTTCTTTTTTTGTTTAATACATATTTTATCATTTAGTTGGTTGTGTAATTGTTCATAATGATTCAAAAATTATTGCATTAGGTCAGAATGAACCTGTTCGACTTAAGAATGCTACAAGACATGCTGAAATGTGTGCACTCGATAGTCTTTTCGCTCAACATGATCTTTCAACTGCACAAAAAGTTTTCTTTTCATATTTTCTTTTATTTCATTCTTATTATTTAATATTTTAGCTTCTTTCAGAATCTATTCTTTATGTCACTTGTGAGCCTTGTATGATGTGTGCTGGTGCATTACGTCTTGCCGGTTTAACACAAGTTGTTTATGGATGTTCAAATGATCGTTTTGGTGGTTGTGGTTCTGTGCTAGATATTGCAAAAGATCCAATGTCTGGAACATTACCATTACAATGTACAAGTGGAATCGAAGGTGATGAAGCAATGCGTTTATTAAAATTATTTTATATGAATACTAATGTCAATGCACCACAACCAAAAGATAAATCTAAGAAACTAAAAAAATCATCTATAACATTTGAATAAATGCTATTTTTTTGTTTTTTTTTTTGTTTGAGTTATAAAAATGTTTTGTTAATCCAATATCAATTAGTTTTTCGTGTCTCAGAAGCAGAAAAGCCACATGTATTAGAAAATGATAATGTATACAATGGATAACTGAGAGAGATCATTTTCATCAGAGCTATTAGCTTGGCCTACTGCCTGGTAAGTGCCTATTAGGCCAGACAAAAGTTGTTGATCTGTTTCTTTTTTTATTTTGGAAATGAAATGTTGATGTATCACTTTATTATTTGAGAGTATTTTGATAAATTCGTTCGATTCCAGTAATAAATATTTGAATCGAACGTCATTTCAGTGTTGTAGAACTCAAATTGACTGACAGAATAACTTGTTTAGATCCAAAACAATTGGATCATAAATTTTGCCCTTGGACTATTGTGAGAAATCGATTGTCAAATGTAAATGTCCTTGTATTTTACTAAAAGTATCACTTATTCTCTGCATTTTCGTTGTATATTTTCTTTTACCTTTTCATTTTATGACTAATCCTATGTTTTTTTTTGCCATCATGATTATATATTTTTTCGATTATGCGAAAGAGAACTGATATGATGCAAAGCATAATGTTAATTTAAGCATTTCTCTTGCATTTAAAATACTTATGATGTTTGTCACTTTGTTTTAATTAGTTATCTCATGTAAGAGTTTCTTATTTCTTTTTATCTCTATAAAAATAAATTGAGTAACCAACTGAAACTAGAATTATATATTAATGAAGAGTAATACAATTAAACATATTCGAAAAATCAAAAACATCAATTCGCTTGCTAGCATTTCAAACCAGAACAGACTAGAAAAAAAGTGGCCTGTAGGCAACTGTGATTTTCATTATGATATGAATTGTTGAAATAAAACAACAATATAGAAATGTCGAAAATAATATTCAAATTAGAATGAATTCAAAACATGAATTTATCTTATGATGCATCAATACTTATTATCAAACCATTCGTTCATCGTTTCCTCCATCTATTTTCTTTTGAGTCACTTATTGTTGTATTGCCATCACCATCATCACCATCAATTATTTCTTCACAAGTAAGGTTTGAGTAAACTTTAAAAACTTATATGAGTGTAAATTTTTTTTTATTTGAAATTCATTAGTAAAAAAGTTATGTTAGTTCGTTAACGATTAATATATGTTGAAGTATTTATTCTTCATCTTATCTTTGTTCAATTACTTTATCTATCATTAAATTAACGTCATCTTATAGGTCAGTATCTTAAAATCGATATTGAACAAGTTCATATTTACTTTTCAAATCGAACGATCAAGACGATAGATTGCCAATCAACTAACAAACTTTATTCAAAGCATATATCATAAATAGACAAATTAAAAGAATTATCTCATCAATTAAATTTTGTAATCTAATAATATCTTTTCGAATAAAAAAATATTATTTGAAAAAAAAAACATAATTCTCTATATTCAGTGCTATAAAAATAACATTTCAATGTCGAACATTAACGCACAAGCATACTGTTTATATAAGTATTTATTCTTTTACTTTTATCTTGAAAAGAGTAATCGCTTGACAACATAAATGCAAATATACTAATCGTTTGAAACACTACAACACCATGAAATAACAAGCAACGAACTTTGAAGCCATTTATTATTCACATGTCGATAAGAGTAATCTAGTAAAACAAGTTATTTATTGTCATTTCATTAAAAACGATGGTTGATATTATCAAATTTTTACCTTCTGTACCAACACATAGTCCTTCAAATATTCATCGAATACAAAATAGATTAACTTCTGAACAAATCACTTTACCAATATTGTTGTCCGCAGTTAATAATAATTATCAACATGATCGTACAAATACTATTAATCATACGAAACGATGGATTGGACGATGTCCTCGTGATCCAACTCATCGTATTAATATATCTGATGGATTACAAAGTATGCGTCCAAATGCTATTGATCATGAAATTGCTCGATACTATCCAGGAATAACTATTGACATGTCTGCATCGATAAAAATCAAACAACAACAGCAACAAAGAAATAGTAGTAAAGAGCCATTAAAAGTAATAATAGGAACCGGAACAACTGTTACATCGGCTTCAATTTTAACAAATGTTGATGACCAAAGTTCTCGTTTATTTGATGCACTATCAAAACATGTTACAATTAAACCAGAACCACTTCGATCAACAAATAATTTTTCAAACAATACTACTTATACATTATCTTCATGGAAAAAATATTGGGCATCAACATTTGCACAAAGACGACGGTAAACGAAAAATTTTATTTTTTCATTTACAGATACGTATATTTTATATTTGATTCTAGACAAGAAACTAATGATTCTAACTATGCTTTATATGGTTCTAAATGTAATGAAGCTCTTCTAGCTACAAAGGATCTTGTTACTATTCGTAATCCATCATCTTATGCAAGTAATGAAAATAATAGAAAAAGTAGTGCATCATCAATTCGATCAAATAGTTCTTTTGCAACCAATGCTTCTTCAGCAACAATATCTGATAAACAAACATCATTTATAAAAGAAGAAAGTCCTCTTTCTTTTCCATATATTGTTTCATCAGAAGAAAAAACTCCGCCAATGAATGAATTAAAATTAATCAAAGAAAAACTCTTACCACCTATAGAAAGTAATAATATGGTTACTAATGATAATAATGAAATTGAACATAAAATCAATACAATAACAACAAAAATTTATAGATTTCCCTTACCTTCAAATAAACCAAAAATTATCAAACCAATATCAAAACAAGACTTATTAAAACCATTAGAAAAAAAATCATCTATAGGTACATTTGTAGAAAAAAAAGAAACAACATCTTTACCGAACACATCTATTTCAAAACGAAGACGTCAAAAAACAACCGATCGAAAATCATCTAGTAAATCCCATCGAACCACAACAAAAAAACAACAGTTTATATCAACAGTAGTGCCAACAACGTTAAATTCAAAATACGAACGAACAAAATGGGATGAACCATATGTGGGTGTTCGATGTGATCCACCAACACCACCATGTTCGCCATTATCAGTGGTTTGTTCTCAAAATAATGATCAAAATGGAAGTAGTACATTCGTTGAACAAAATTCTACGAATGAAGTTTATCAATAGAAATTCATATTTCGAGTGTTCAAAAACTTTTGTATAGAAAAAAAAAAAAATCTTCATTTTTATTTGACTCAATCATAGATTCTGTCTGAAAAGAAAATTGCTAAATAATTATACACTTGATTTGATTTGTTATATTATTTGCTTGATCCCTTATCTTATACAATGAATGTTTTTGTTTATCTTTAAAGACATTTTCATGTTAATAAAAACAATATTTTTATTTCTTTTTTTAATCATAAATAAAGTCTTATATCTTATTTGATCAAATAATAAGATAAGCATTTCCTGAGATTATTCGTTTGAATATCTGATAATGTCCTACTCCTTTATTTAGATTTAAAATGTTCCGCATTATTCTTTAAAACTACTATAATAACGATAAATACTACCATTAAAAATGTCGTTTAATATGAGTTTCAATCTTTTATAACTGTTTGTGCTAAATCAAAAGCTGATTGGATACCAATAAGATCGCCAAGTTTTGATGGACAAATATATTCATCAATATTTTGTGTAAGTATAGGTATATTAATATAACCATTTAATATTTGTTTTACATGCTTTCTTATGTGTTGAAAAAGAATTTCTCGTTTCATTAAACCTCCACCAATAATAATACGTCGAACTGATGTAAGATAGATAGTTGCTGCACATAATTGTGCTATATAATATGCTTGAATATTCCATACAGGATGATCATCAGGAATTGTATTGAGTTGACTTGGTGAAATATTTAGACGATCAGCAACTGCTTTAGCATTTGACATACCTTCGATACATGAATTATGATATGGACAACAACCAGGATAATCATCACCAGAAAAACGTTCAACTTTAATATGAGCACCTTCAGGATGCATTAAACCATGTATTGGTTTACTTTCAATAGCAAGACCAACACCAACACCTACACAATAATGTCAACAAACTAGTTTTATTAAAGAAACTTAATAATAATACCTGTTCCAATGGTAATGTAAGCTGCTGATGTATCACCTCGAAGGGCCGCTTCAGTCATTGCTGGTGCATTAACATCTGTTTCAAAAGCAATCGGAACATTGAGATCATGAAAAGCACCAACTACATTAACATATTGCCATCCTGGTTTTGGTGTTGTTGTAATATATCCATAAGTTTTGCTAGTTTTATCTAAATCAACAGGTCCAAAGCATACAATGCCAATTGCAACAAATGGTCTCTCAGACTTGTTTGATGCTAACCAATCATGTATTTCACTTAAAGTATTTTCTGGTGTTGTTGTTATAACTTGCAATGAGTATTGTTCAGTAAATTGCCCATTATTATCACTTATTGCTATTTTACATCCTGTACCACCCATTTCAATAGCAGCTACAATCGAAGGCATCGTTGGTATTCTTTAATAAATTTTATATATATGACAAAGTGATTAATTCTATAATGTAAAAGAAGAAAAATCATCATCTGGAAATGCTATTTTATTTCTAGTTTTCATAAGGAAAATACAATTTTTTTTCCGTTATCGTTAAACCTGTAAAGAATAAAAATCACCAACATGTCAAAGAAATTATAATATTTTCTCTGTAATAAAATCTACATAACACAAAATAAATGTTTACACCAATGTGAAAAATGAAACGTTTTTAATAAAGAAAAAGAGATATATCAGGGCTATTCTATTTGTCTAACATACGAAGAGAATAGCGTTTTTTGTTGGAGCATTCTTTTGCACTTTACTCGCATATGACCGAGCTTCTTTGCATAGATGTGTAACAAACATGCCTCTCGTTCTGTTACTCTTTGGCGTTCTCTTCTCGTCTACTACTAACCCTATACCCTTAATATCGTGCCCAGTGAAAAAAAAAACTTCGTTTATCATCAAATCATTATGCAACAAACCAAGATAATAATCAATTTAGTAGACATTTCGCCATTTTTTATGAGCAAAATCTTCGAAATCAACTATAATTTTGAATTTTTTGCTCAGTAATTCCATTATAATCGAAACATTTTTCACTGGATAGCTGATATTTTATCATACATATATTTTTGCTATTGAATACCATAACAGATAGCTTTTATAATAAAATCTTCTAAAAAGTCTTCATTAAAAAAAAACTTTTAATAGTATCCTGTTTAATAAAATATTACAAGTGTTTTGTTTATTTTTTCAAACTTGTATTCACTAAAGAAGTTACCACTGAAAGAAATAGAAAAGAAAAGAAATTACAACTAGACGCATGTCCTATGTCTATTTCATTCATGTGTTTGTATATTATATTAGCTATCGATGGTTTCTTTTACTTCTTTCTTCACCCAATTGGTTGTTCACACAAAGCAACCAATTTTTTTTCTTAGTAGATTTTTTTTTTGGAATATTATACGCATAGCGTCAAGCATCGTGCGATCATTATGAACAAGACATTGTCCTAACCATGTTCGCCATGCACATTAAACAGGAATGTGGCGAAAAATGTATTGGGTGGAGTGCAATATTTTTTTTTCAATCATAACAATGTTTTATTTGCGTCGTAAGAAATGAAAACTTTCTAAAAGTGGGGTGTGTGCAACACTCCTCCTTCGTCGCCACATGCCTGACATTAAAACATGATGTTGAGTATTTACATTGAAAATATCTTAACAGTTTTCTTTTTTTGTCTTGCTTTTTATTTGATAAAATTTTATCTTAATACGAAAAAAGTTTACTGCAATTTCGTATTAATAAAAAGATATGAAAAACTATCTACTAACTGCGATATTACTTCTAATTATTTGTGATCACACAAGCCCAATCCTTTTTTTTTTAAATTTTACTCCAACTCTGATGAGGAAAAGCCTCAATTTCGAAATCAACTCCCACTCCGAGTTGGCGTTGTCCAACTCTGAATCAAACTTATTATTTCAAAGATTATTTTTTATTCCTCGACAAGTTATAATATATTTGAAAGTTATAATAAGAATACTGAACATATTTGTAAAACATAAATCGGAATATTTCTTGTTAAATGTTCAATCAAGTGTACTTCGCTGAGTGATTTTAGTTTTTATCATTGAACTCAATAGTTAACCCTAGAAGCTTGAACGAACCAGTAAATTTATCAACATTGGTGATTACTTGATCTGTGTCGAAAAATGCTACAAACTTGAATTATTCAAGTTTTTTGCTCATAAGAAGTATTTTAGCTCATTGACATGGTGTCTCACGTACGAACAATTTGTCTTCAGATGACTAGTAAAAGTTTTTTTTCGAATTACGATTAATTGACATAATCATCATCTTGGTGACACTACTCAATGCATTGAATTGATAGGGAATTGTTTTTGAAGGATCATAGTTTGTTGAAGATGAATACATGAGCAACGCTGGATTTAGCACAAATATGTAATCTGACATCATTCGATGTAGAAAAATTATGAAGAAAGAATTTATAAAACTGACAAATTACGGCAGTAATTTAACCTCAAAAAGATATTTTATTTGTTTTCTTAAAACAAAGAGTGAAATACTTTTTTTAAAAAGAGGCAAATCTCTGGAGAGTGGTTCAACTATTAATGATTAATATTATATTTATAATTGTCTATCATTTATTATCAATGAAATAAGGATGCAAAAGTGATCTGCTAAGGTTTTGAGCATTCATCTATGTATTCATCAAACTGTTTTTTATTATATCATATTGCAATTTATCATTAGTATTTTTAGTCATAGTATTTATGCAGCTCAGTACTATACAATGTTCAAATACAGTATCTCATTAAATGATGAATTCTATTAATCAAGTAGATGTATTGTTTATTGGTTTAAGTATAATAGTCAAAATCATGATCATATGCCAATCAATAGTTATTTGAAAAATACTTTCAATAAACCTCTCCAGACAAATTGATCATCCATAAACAATCATGGTTACAAGTTCAAACATTTGCTGAAGTAAAAATTTAGCTGACTTAAGTCTGCATATAGTACTTCTTTTCTATTATTTCTATTATATGATTTCAATAGAAATATCAAAGTACCAATAGCAAATACATCACATAGGAAATAACAATGATTAATATGAACATTGAATTATTAAAAAAATCGATCATATCTCAAGATATGCAAAACTAAGTTTTTTTGGTCCCAGCAACTTCTCTTCTAGTGGTCTCGGTTATGGCTTCGGTTGATCTAACAAAAAATTTGAGTCGATAATTAGCATTTTTTTAAAGTCATCTCTCTTGAATAGTGCTCTGATTGATATGGTTTATAAGATAATTCGCTTAAAACTAGAGAATAACTTAACTATAATTTTCAATTGTGCTTCGAACAACTTTTTTCTCGTTGTATCAGTTCCGATCTCGCAAATCTCTAGTACTGATAGCTCCAATATCACTCTACTTCAGAACTCATATTTTCAAAAGTGTCTACATTTGGTCGATTAGACATAGTCCTAAAAAACGAAGAACAAATAACCTAAAGTTTTTGTATGAGATCGGAAAAAAAAGCATTAAAAAGAACTTAATTACTCGCGAATTTCAGCATGATTATATTATCGTGGCTGTGATCATGACTTGATTACTTTGTAGATCTCTACACTCGACACTTACCGTCTGCTCCGTACTATGATTAAATAACGAAGAAAGAAACGAATAATTTTTAGTGTCTGTATATATGCAAAGAAAATTTATTTGTTTACATCTATATATTTTCTTCTGAAGAAAGATGATATTTTCATCGGAAACGTAAAGTGGAAATGAAATAACAATTAATTAGAAAGAGAAAACTTTTTCTAAACTATTATTGTTTATTTCAATTAAAAACTAATTAGTAATGTTTTCGATCTATCTTTCATATTTCGATTTAGAAAATTTAGTGGAAAATTAACAAAAATCTATCATAAATATTCATAAATATGATTTAATTATTTTTATTTTTGAATGAAATTAAGTAAAAGATTTTCATAGGTTTTCTAATGACAAATTTTATCTCAAGTAAAAACAAAAGAAATATATTTATTTAATGAATAACATTAATAGTAACC